GGCTTTTCGTTTTAGATGCGTTCACACGCATGCCGGTCACGTCGCACTCGGCTGCGAACCTTTCTAATGACCTTAATAATCTCACTTTGTTATTTCTTTCTGTTACTTTCAACATATGTTTTATATAGGCATATTATTACATTGTGCGTAACCAAAATGCTTTGTTCAATTTAAGTGTAAATTTTCTTTACAGTTTGGTAAAAAATTTTATTCCTGCAAAAACTGAAGTAGGCAGAAATGAAGTAACGCGCTGAACAACAGTATCACGGAGGCGTGACTTCAGTTACCAGTTGAGGAATAGAGGCAGATCATTGACTGTTCACAGATTTTGGCCTATCCCTGTCTATTAAATATGACTTGTCTCCTTGTCGGGTTGAGGGAGATCATTTTAGCGATTGCTGCTGGAGACTCTTTTCACTGTCTTCTTCGTGTTCAGACGAACTGAGATTAGTCGGATTGAAAAAGAACGGCATGATTACTTTTTCGTAATGCCATTCGGCTTTCTTTAAGCATTTCAAAACCTCCTTCAGCACAATATTTAGCCTCCTTTCCAGCGCCATATAATGTTTCTCGGCTAAGATTGGCGACAAGCCATCTTTTGATAATGACTGTCGCAGTGCATCAGACAAAGTCAGGGGACCAGTGTAGTAATCCAGAAGCGTCCTTAGTGTCGTAGGTCGGATTAGGCAGCACTGCGTGAGTGGCGCAAGGATGTCCATGTCATCTGTCTTTGAATTACCAAATCTACAACGCAATGTTATATGCATGAAATTTCCGTATTGAAAAGACAGCTAAAAATGAATTTCGTTTAGAGGGACAGATCAAATGTACAGCTAACCGAAAGTGTTTCAGATTTGGATATATCACCATTCTCTAGTTTCGTCATCAGTTTGGACGAAATGAATAGGACCCTCTGATTTAAATCCCTGACTGAAGGATTTAGGGTCGTCATCCATGTTATTTCATAACAAATTAGTACAATTCTTTGGTTTATTCTGTCTACTCTTTGAATAGGGAATATCGAATTATGGGCAAAATGGGAGGAAGACACAGTGAGAGCTGAATTATATTAGGCTAGGACATAAAAATGGCAAGTTTCCATCACTTGCATGATAAAGATCCAAGAGGCTGGATCAAAAAATTATCTAGATTTTGTCTTCTGTTTCAGTAAAAAAAGTCAGGAATTCTATGATTATGAAGATGTTTCAGATATGCATGAGTGAAGGTTTAGCAAGCGCTACAAAAGAAATGGCACACGTAGAATTTTTAGTCTCTAATAAGGGCAAAATGTTGTTTTATGCTGAGTGGTCGTACTTTGGAAGCATTCGAAGGTGCATGCATAGTATTCGATGAGGGAAAGAGATTTAAAGTAACAACTAAAGATACGCTCTATCCTCACCCTCTACCGTTGTCCAAATGCAGAAGGAAACTTGCTTGCTTCTTGCCGGGAAAAATGGAGAAGTATTCATAATGGTGACGATCCTGATTTCCTAAAACGCCGTACAGTGCGCAACACAAGTCGAACATAACTCATACCCATAAAGAAGTCGAATATGTACAAATCGACAAGATCGAGGAGCGCTCGGCCTGCGTTGTATGGGAAGGCAGTTTTGACTTTGAGATCACAGAAGCTTGAATTCAGCTGCCAGAGAGCCAACTGCCTTCTTTTGTTATATGTTCTAAAATTAAGTGCACTGTTACGTTCAAATAAACTAATTTTTCTAGTCAATATTTGTTATTTTAACGGTTTTAGATTTTCAGTCAGGATACACCAACAAGAACAGCTGACGATTTACTTTAACATAATTTCGAAAGCATATGATTACTAAAGACTCAATACCTCTTCAGAGGTACATACAGGTTTATGAGAAATCGTTTACGATGTCTCGTCCATTGCTTGAATGGTTTGAATCACAGAAACGAATAACGCCCACCTGACATTAAAATATCCGTACCAGGATAGTGTCGAAAATGCTATCCGTAAAGCAAGACCTCTCTACGAAATGTTGACCTTGTTACCTGATAACTTGGTTCAGTATATTAATTAGCAGTTATTTTAAACCTAATTTTTTGCGAAACGCAAAAGTAACCGTTGGGGTCTGTGGTATTCTCTACGATGCTGGCAGTTTGAGTTATAAAGGCGAGAAACACAAGAAGAGAAAGCGGCATTTAAACCTGTTGGTTTGCATTTTTGTTCAGTGAATTTGTGGTTGCTTTATACTCGTAGTATCAGTTATTTCTTTAGTGATGTACTTTACCGTTCTTGATGATGCAGAAAGATATTTCAGCAAAACAATCTGTAGAACATACACTCTTGCTGGGCAAAGTCCATTAATTGAAATCTCCGAAGACCCTGAGGAATACTCGGAATCACCTGATTCATGTGTCTCGAGATACTGCTCAAGACTCTAGCTTTCCTCTGCAGAGCTTTAAATGATGCCGCTAGCTTAAGGAACGTTGGAGACTTTATGCGGCACTGTTGTTTCTACAACCTGAGAGGATAAGCGGTCATCGAAACGACTGACTGCACACTCATAATCTCGCACATCGTTTTATGCTATTAAATAATAATTGCACTCTCGTCGCAGCTGAATGATCCGGAAAATTAATTATAATTCGCACAGTTTTTACACACTTAAAGTCTGATCTATCCAAAATTGTAATCCACGTCATTTTAAACACGTGATCTGCAGAATTGAAAATTAACCAAACAAGGTTCTAAGAGTTCGATGTCTACTGCAGGTTACCAAAGAAATGTACGCTCGAGTCTCAACGAAGTTCGAAGTACATTTGGTGAAACGAGAATTTCGTGCACACGGGTGTTTGTCAAAGGTAAGCGTTAAGTTCATTCACTTATGTTCTTGCTGGCAAGAGAGCGTGGACTAATGACCTGCAGGAATCAGTTCGATATTCGCTGCCATATGCAGACGATATGACATTGTATAACGAAAGTAGAGAAGAAGTGGAAGCTAAAACCAAAGAAGGTTTCGATACTGTAAGCGTCTCGTCTCTGTAAGTTCAAGACAGAAGACGGAATACATAACAAGGATATTTTATCAGCGTAACAAAGGGGAGGAGTGAAAGTGCAGGGTTATTTGTTGCTTTAAATTCCCATATCATTTTTCAATCATACAAGACATCTGCCACTGTGCCCAGCTGCTGATAATTTGGTTCGTTTCCGGTTAGACAAATACCTTCACCTACAGATGGCTGCGACAAACGAGCGGTCATGGACAGAAAGCGTGAGACGACCAGGGCTTGACTGGTTTTGCGCTTGACAAATTTGTTCCTTATAGAAAAGCTGAAAATGCCCGATGATTATTTCATGTCGATTCACCGCTATGAAGAAAAACGGCGGCCAATGTCATCACTGTCTTGTGGTTAGACGTCG